AAACCACTGATTACAATTTACGATGTTTTTATTTCCCGCACAATTTCTGCATGCACCTTAACAAATTTTCAATGACCATTTTACTTTCTAAAAAATATGATTTTCAGAATATATATTTCAAAAACTTTCCGGAAATTGTGAAATTTCTGGAACACAACTTTTAACATAATATTTCCAGAATAAAATTTTTGAAATAGAATTTTCGAAATCAAATTTCTGGAATGCATGGAATAAATTTTGAGAAAAAGTTTTCAAAATAAAATTTTCTATATTAACTTTTCATAATGCATATAATGCCTTCTGGAATGACTTTTTCAGAACATTCATACATAAAATGCATTTTGGAAATAATTTTCCAGAATATATTCTGAAAGAGTACTTTTTCGCATTTTCCCTTTTTAGTCTGTAGTTTTCTCTTTCCTCTTCTTCTTTCTCTGCGTTGACAATGATAATAAAAGTGAAACCGGCAACAATGCTGTCATGCAGTTAGTGAAGGGTGTTTGAGTTATTTTTTTTATGGTTAATAATGTTTTTATTTCCCCAATTTATATGTAAAATTGAATTTTTTTTAAATATAATTTGGACCAAACTTTAAAGTTAGTGAATATATTCATAGTGTTAACTTTTTTAGGATTTATTAAATGAACTCATGTTTGAGTTACAATTTACTAAAATAATTCATTCTAAAACATATTTAAACATGTTGAAAAAAACTTAATATAATTGAATTATAAAGATTATAATTATTTATTTTTAAAGTTTGAAATTAAAATATATTAAAATTTAAAAGAATGAAGAGTTTTAATTTTGCATAAACTTTAAATAAATATATTTAACTGTATTTTTTTATTATTGAGCTGCAGTGATTATAGGGGTGCAGGTAGCCTTTACAATATGATAGCACTCGTCCATATAGCAGTCAATTTTAAGCCTTTTGTAAATTAGTATATTATTTTTATAGAGCTCCAAACTATGTGATAGTGTAAAACTTTATTTAGTAATATCTTACATTATACTTTTGTCTAGAGTTCTATGATATGCTTACATCAACACATTATATAACATGTATCTCTACTTTTCAACTGACCTTTATTTTATTTTATTTTTCTTCATTCGCACAACTGGAAGATACCTAATAAATCAAAGTAACAACAAATCTTAAAATTGTTATTCAAAATGCACGAATGTTGTTCCCTGTGTCCTTATAGAATTGAATACAAGTAAAATATTTCTTTAATATATGAAAACAGAAATATTAAATGATTTTAACTACTATTCTAATCCATATGAAAATAATTTAGTATGGAGCTAGTATGAAGGAAAAAAAATCAATCCATTGAGGTAATAAAATTTTGATAAATTTTAGAATAAATTATACAAACATTCTTCATATCAACTTTACAACAACATCCTAGTTTTCTTAAAACTCTCGAAATTTTCAAATTGTGGAAATATCATTATTTACAGTTTTTACGAGGTCGGTGCACACCTCTTTTAACATTGCGCATGCACATTTTTCAGACACATCATTAACTGTAATAATTACCATTACTTCTTAAGTGGAGAAACTATTTGTTTAAAGTTGTATTACATTTGGAGGGGCTGCATATGTACTTACAATACACAAACTATACGTTAACATTAATTTAATATTTTTAGTGTTATCCACTCATTTGTTGACATACACATTCAGGCTTCATTTTACCTTTACTTCCTTCTCCTTAAAATTCTGAAAATCTACACATTTAATTAATTTAATTATTCTAAACCTCAGGACTTGGTAACCAAAACATGAAATTTCACCTAAAGATATACCAAATCTTCTTTCAAATCTTAATATATAAATTTTTTACTAAATTTCTAGCCTAAGCTTTTAAAACGATTATATATTCCAAATTCATGATAAGCTCCCAAATATTTGAATTGAAAATAAGAATTTAAGATAAAAGTAGACACAGAGAAGGAGAAAATTAGTTTAATTTTAAAAATAAAGGGACTTACTTAATGGCAAAATAATCAAAGAATCAAATTTAATTAAAAAATAAAAAATTATTTAAAGTTAAGTCCTAATACACAGATGTAAATAACAGTGACAGCTAATGACTCAGCAGACAGAGCTTCTATGAGAAGACAACATGGTATTAGGTACAACTTCTAGCACTACACTTTCATTCATTGTTAAAAGCCCTCAATAAAACATATTTAGCCATAAAATAAGGTACTCTCCCCTACCCTCACCTAACTTTTTGTTTGGAATAACAATAAGCAATTAAACTTTTCAATTGTACCACCACACATAAGTGAATGACATCAGAGATCCTGCTTGGGACGCTAGGTATAAAGCATGAAATACCCACAAAATTTAACCCTCAGCCAGAAAAATGCACAAGTACCGAATGGAAATTTCTAAGACTACAGTGATTCACCTTGCACCCCTCTCCCAGACCAACCCCATAGTAGTGTATGATGCTTCATCTCAGTTCTTTTCATTCCTCTCTTCGGGAAACATTAGTGCAAAATTCTATTTCTTGCAAATTGAATTTGTTATAACTTTTGTTGTCATCGTAGTTTTCTCCAAATATTAACCTAGGTGAACTAAGATCGGGACAAGGATATAAAGAATACAAAGATACAGTGGCAAGTCAAAGAAGTAAAGTTGTTATACTTGCGGTCATCTGAAGTTGCAGCAACGAGCTCGACCTCTTGATAATTTGTCCCACAGACAGATCATCTGTCTTGGTGATTGGTAATGTGCAGTGAAGTAGCCCTCCATGCATCCATACTGACAAAACTTCCAGTTGTGGGAGTACTGGACTGGAGCAACAGTACTATTATATCTCTCAACCCACATTCCCATGCTTACATCCTCCATTTTAAAGAGCTGCCATCAGAATATATTTCAGTCATCAATGAATTTTATTGATGTGGCAACTTGGAAAGTGAGGAGGGAGGGGAGACTGCAAAGCTAAATGAAAAATATAAGGTTAACTAACCCTTAG